CCTGATGAATTCTGTACTTGTAATTGTACTTGTAGATTGATTGATCCGCAATGCCGCACTCTGGTGCTTTATCGAAGGATGTTGCCAAGCTGCTGATGAGAAAAATCTGCAAATCGAATGCCTGTAGTTGCAAAGATGCTGTACCGCGCAAAGCGACGGTTTTAACGGCTTGCAAAGAAAGGCTATCGAAGGACCCGATTGGCGGGCAGTTGGGATGCAGACCGATGGAGCTCCTCGAGATACTGCGAGGGGTGCAGGCCCCTTGCCGCCGGACTGAAAAATCGATTCCGGGACTCGATGTACTCCCCAACGTTCTCAAGCGCGTTGGCAAATCCGCTCGGCCCAAAATGGGGAAAGTTGCGGAACGCTGCGATGCTAGTCTTCTGCGCCTCGCGGACGATTGCAGCTTGATCGTCCACGAGGACGTGGGCTCCCAACCCCAAGAGAGCGTCCGCCTTCCCACCCCGGCCCAGCCTCTCGTGTACGATTTTGATCGCGGAGAAGGTGAGTCCAGCTGTCGCCTTCGCGTGCTCCAGGGCGACCTGGAACTCGCGGCGTCGAAAATCGCTAGCTGCCCTGCCAACGAATGACAGCACGACCAGGTTGATCGGTGCGTAGTCAGCTGCGAATTGAACGAGATGCCGGATGACCTCCGGGTTGAGGTGGGGGCCTTGCTGCCCGACGTCAAGAACTCCGTGCCAGTCCAGAGCGATGGTGAGCTCCTTGGGCGGCACTGGCCTTGCAGGCGGCGGGGGTGGCGCTGGCGGCGGCCTTCTTGGTGGCGATCGAAAGCGTGTGCCAGCCTCGGAAGTTGCAGCGCTTGTAGCAGCTGCTTTAACGACCTGCGGCGGTGGCGGCTTGACGATGTACCCTTGTGGTGGGTTTGAGCCTGACTTGCTTCTGGGTTCGGCCTTGTTCAGACCTCGCGGAGGCGCCTTGTACCCGAACGCACTCTGAGTTCGAATAGGAGACCTTGCTCGAGGAGGTGATTTCCTTGGAATAACTGCTTTTGCCGGTACCGAAGAAGCTGCACGAGGAAGTTCCTTGGGCAATGGAGGCTTGCTGCCAAAAATGATCTTTGGTGCGGCCTTTGATGGCGGTTGCTGTATTGCTCCAATCCTCCGGCTATGCAAAGCAATAGGCTCAGTCTGCCAGTTGTAAGGAATTCCGCGTCCTGCGGAGGCTCCTCTTCTGAGCTATAGGCGTCGTGCTCCGCTGGTCCTGCTCTCCACGTCTCGTCCGCAAGCGAATACGGGTCAGCCTGACTGAGATGGGCCGTGTAGCAAGGGAAGTCCTGGATGGTCTACCCTCCCGCGCAAGCGCGGGTTCAACACTGTGTGCCCGATGTTCCACAGGGGTAGCAGCAGTCGGTCCTCGTCTCGGTGACGATGGGGACCTCGATCTTTGTGGCGACCGTTCCCTGCTGCTCTCCCGCCGCGTTTCCGCAGCTCTAGCGTACACCCCACGAAGTGCTGTCTTGGCGGCACCTCGCAACACTTGTCTTTCCTCTGCAGATGGTCGGATACGAGGCAATGGAGTGCGTGAGTCTTGTAGCCAGGATGAAGCTGAAGGAGGCGTAGGAGGTCGTAACCAATCCGCTGCACTGCTTGCTGCTTCCGCCGCGCCAGAGGCTGCGGCTCTATCCTGCGACTGCACACCTTGTGACAAGACCACACCTGTGGTTTCAACCGATGCAAGACGGCTGATAAGCGTTGTCCGCGGCCTCGATTACCTCAAAGGCTTCTCGGTCGAATCCCCACAGGTGCCAACTATCCAATGTCTCACGCCAGGAAAAGAGGGCCTCAATCTGTTGCTTTGAGGCGTCTGCAAACCTGATCCACCGGAAGCGTCTGTCCTGTCTCTTGTGCTCGTCTACGACGATCTGTTGCAGGGTGTTGAACAGACGGGCACGCGGCCCTTTCCCACCGCGAGTGCCGCGGTGGGGGCCGACTTCCATGTGCGACCAAAAGGTCGCAGTCACGGAAGGGTTTGTTTACCCGAAAAGCGTTACGGCTGATAACCACTCAAAGATGAGGGAAACACAGTTTTCTCAACAACGGGGGAACCCAGGACCTTAAAAGGAACGAACCCCGCCGTGACTGCAACCTCTCCCTTAACCTTGTGGCAGCGCGTGCAACGCGCTCTTTTCCTTGAGCCAAATGACAACATGCGGACATGTTGTCCAGTCTTGCAGCTTGTATCATGGGTTCCTACCTCATGAACCTCTGGGCTATAAATGTCATCGTGATAATTGACTCTATATACCGCCATCTTTTGGGTATGCCATCCAGCAGGCAACCAGAGCACACCCAGCCTCAGGAGAGGCACAATAACATGACCTCAGCGTGCCAGTGTGAGGTGACGCTTGTAAGCTGGGCCCGCCAAAAGAAAATATGCATCGCACTGCAGCGGCACCGCATCATGCAGTAACTAAGGCGTTCACACAAAGATTACGCCAATGAGTGGCGCAAATAGTGGCCTGCCCCATGCAAAGACACACGACACCGCATTGCCTGAACATTTTGCGCCTGGTCCGCCCTAGCTTTCTTTGACAGGGCCTTGCAGCAAGCAGGATCGCCCAACCCCTTACACCATGACTGAATCATCTTCTGCCAGAGCTGCATATCAGGTACGGCGCTGAACAAAGTTCGAGCTGAGAGGCTGCTGTGCCCAAACATGGGCTCAAACTCAGGATTTGCTTTTTGGTTGTGGGCCAAAATGTTTGTATGATTTGTTCTGCGGTGATCCGACGACGAGAGCATACAGAAGAAAGGTGTTTTGTGCGCCCTGTCACCCATACCGCTTTTGGAAAGCGTTTTTTTTGTTGACTTGGCCGCGCGCAAATCTAGCAGAACTTCCGCAGCTTGCCCAACAAAGTGCCTCTCAGTGCAAGTCCAAGTCGGGCAGAAAAAGTACACAGCGGCAATTCCAGCTACAAAGGTGCAACTGTTCAGTACAAGTCTAGCACACAAAGTACACTACCGCCAGTTGCCACGTGCGTGCCAGGCAGCGACAGGAATAGCCAGACTTGGGCAGAAAACGGATGGCCACAGCCGCACGAGCAGCAGCAGCTGCGAGCAGTAGGCGTCGCAAGCTTGTAGCCGCCGCAGAAGTAGTGATAGTAGTAGTGGTAGTGGCATTGGCAGACGTAGTTGGATTAGGAGTAGGCGTCAGGGCAGGAGTGGGAGGAGTAGCGGGTCTGGGCCCGGCCGTGTGTGTAAAGAGTTAGGGAGGAAGATGGATAGATAGGTTAGGTAGGTAAACAAATAAACCAGTAGATACACAGAAAACTAGCCAAATGCCAGGAAGGTTTGGGCACGAGGAGCGGTTTTGGGGCCGAGTTGTAGGAGCAAGTGCCAAACACGATTTGTGGGCGCACGCCCTCGATCTCATCTCGATCAAAGAGCGCGCCGCCCACTTGCCAAAGAACATGGTTTCTTTGACGCTTGTGACACTAGGGAAGCGGAAAGCAAAGGACAAATTAATGCGAACTGGAAGCGTCGGAAGCCGCTGAGCTTCCCGCCATCTGTCAAGATGCGCACAGCCTGAGAGGAAGGAAGGCTGAAGGCTTGCAGGGCGGCGGCTTTGCTCTAGGCTCGGGTGGAGCATGAGAACGATGGAGAGCACTCAAATGAGAGGGAAGAAGGGACGAAACAGAGAAGGTGAACGGCCAAGTGAAGCGCCGCACAGCATGGAGTATGAACGCGTGCTCAAGGTGCTGATGATGGGGCTGACGCATGTAAAGCTGGTCGACGTGGCTCATTTTTGTGATTTTCCAAGGCAAAGGTAGGGTGGCCAAGTGGGGGGGCGGAGTACTTAGGTGGAAGCCAAAGAGTTCCCAGGTGTTCCGCATCTCGCAAACGCAACCGTCCAGACTGGCTTTGGCTTTGAGCCTGTCGAACCCCGGCCAACCGGCTTTCTGGAAGGCTCTCAGCCCCGAGTGAACCTGACCGCATCAGCTGACGGCTTAAGCAGCGACCATTTGAAATTTCAAGCGCGTCTGAGTCTGCTGTGTTGAGCTAGGTCCGCCTCGCGCATGACCCCCTTTGAAGGAGCCCGAGCTTGCTGGCCCACTGGCTCAGCGTCTGGTCACCTACCTGGCCAAGACCATCAGCTCCGCGCTTTGGCCTTTGCAGTTGCAAAGTGTTGCAAAGTGTTGCAAAGTGTTGCAAAGTGCTCTTATAGATCTCTATACAGTAATGCAATGCGTCGAGCAATCTCGAGCGAGTTTGCCACCGCGGTGTGTCACGGTGCAACTCGCTGAGCTCGTGCGAGAGACACGGGGGGCTTTGCCGCATCCGGACTGCGGCCTGCCAACCATCTGAACAAAGGCAAACATAGCCACATAGAATTAAGCAAGGGCAAAACAAGACATGGATCTGGATTCTTGGCAGGCTCAACCTCTCGCAGCCCGCTATAAAAAAAAGCCGGGCCCTCTCGCCAGCCCAGCCCTGTTGAGGAGGTCTGCTACCGCCACCCTCAACCAAAAGACAAACATTCACACTTCCATGTCAAGACTTTAAGGTTCATGAATTGCCCGGAGATTCTGAATAGAAGAGGGCACACACGCACACTGAACGCAGCTCCAATTTCAGGTAGCGCTTGAAGTTCGAGCGGGTAATCGAGCTTGTGATGCACAGGCCGTGACATGAATTGTGTCTCATTGGTTTGCTTACTTCATTTTGTAGAGACCCTCGCAACATACATGCCACAGCTTGTCAGTGATGGCCATGCTGAAGCCACATGTGACTGCATGCCCTATCAGAGATACTCTTATCCGTCATACAGGATTGCAGCCGTCTAAGCAACATTTATCGTCCATGTGGGTAGTTTCTGGCCGGATTGCCATGGGCTGCTCCAAAACAAATTCGGAAAATGCAGAGGCGAGCGATGCACAAGAGGAAACCTGGCCCGCAACTCGCCAAGTCCCAAAGTGGGCTCACGTTCACGGGCTGCACTTCGTGCGGCATGCAAGCATCCGAAGCATCCGCTCTTCCACTTCAGGCAGCTTGGCTGAGAAGTTGGAATATCCTGTTCAACTTCACGAGCGCTTGTCCATGTCTGTTCACTGTGAGCCTCTTGAAGCTCTTGGTGCAGACCTCCACGTCCCAGTGCAAAAGCTCCAGTAGCTTCGCCTGGTACTAAATAGCTCAGTAGCTTCGCGATATAGCCCTGTTGCGCCTCCAAATCATGGAGCTCGTCTATACGGATGTTGCCTACCTAACATCTCTAACGTCACATGTGCCCTGCATGCAGCTTGCAAACTAAGCTCATCACTTGGCCATACCACTCAATTTCAAACAGCTTAGGTTGGTGCCGCCTGTCAGGGAGCTGTCAGAGAGCAAGTGAAGCTCCAAGCCCTCCCAAGAGTAAACACGGCGCCTGGCGGCCAATGTGATAGCCTGGGTGCCAAGTCACCCTCATGGGGCATTCGGAACAGACAGTAAAACATCCCAAACGTGGGCCCAATGTCATCGGCTAGTCGCTAGTCCCACATGTCACCTCTCATGAATGGCTAACCACATGTTGTCAAGCATTGTTGTTACTCTCCCTGCGACATTGTCAATCAGTTGCGCCCTTCTCCTTGCCGCTTTTACCAGTTTGACCACTACACTTGATACTTTCAAATCCAAGACCTTGATCGGCGCCAAGCTCCCAGCAGCAAGTAAGAGCCTGTGGACCGTCCTATGGTTCAGCTCTACCTGGCAAGATGGCACTTGAATGCCCACCTCTTGCCGGCCACGCGCCACGCCTTCCCGGGGTTCAACTCTGACGCCCGGCACAAGTAGACAAAGGCGTAGACCTCGCAATGCAGCCCTCACCGCCCTCAGTGACCTCTCCGCGTCCAGAGCCCTGCACAAAGCATATGGGCCGGCAGCTGGCGTTCCTTCCGCGCACACGCGGCACTGACATTCGGCACTGACATCTGCGATCGGCATCCGGGTTTTGTTCGGAGATGCGCCGCGTACACTTCATACAATTCGTCCAACGCTCTGCCTGTGCAGGTCCCGAACACACTGCTTGATATTCACTTCGGGGACTTCGCTATCAAAGCCTGAGACAGTGACACGCCGGTCGATGAGCACTTCAACACATGCGACTGCTGGGCTCCAGGCAGCTTTGGTAGCTAGGTGGCGGCGCTTCGTCTGCAGCCTGGCAAGGTGAGCGCATCATTGGATCTGTATCGGAATCCAATGGGAGTTGGTGACATGGAGGATTCGCCTGTTTCAAGGCTCGCCCAAAGCCCTCGACGACCTCGACACGCCATGCAAAAGGCCCGCATTTGACCGGTGCACGCGGACGTCGCATGAGGCCTTTGAGGCCGCGGCCTTTTCGCCGATCGGCATTTGTCGCTGGGCGTCTGGCCAGCTTACCGGCCACTGGGGCCACGCCCCATATTCGCACGGGACGGCAACCAGAGGAAGTGACTCCGAACCTCACAAACCAAAACACAAAGCTTGACAAATCTTGGCCAAACGCTTGGGCCTTCTTGCTCATCATCGGTGTCCGGCCAGACCGGGAGCACTGGCTCACCTGTCAAGCATAAACAATGCCTTGCACCCAGATGTTGAACGCCTTCAATGTCAGATGGCGTTTCGTTAGAGCTTGAAGACCTTCAAGGGCACGGCTCTGAGATCTTTGTGCGGGCCACGTGAGGTGCCGACGGCGGCACTTGGCAGTCGTCTTGAAGAAAGTAGGGGATCTGCAGACCAAAAAAAATGCAATGAAACTCGCAAAAAACGCGCGTGCTGAGTCTGACGCATAGCCGCTGAATGAGTGGCATCGCGCAAGCGTGTTCGCCTTCCACTAGCCAATGCGGCAAATCCGGCCCAAACCAAACAGACCTTCTCTGCATAGTGGATGCTAGTCGAGCCTGTCCGGCCAGTTCGGACAGCTCCACAAAGAAACGCATCGCAAGCAATCGAGCTTGGCGCCCAGTGGCTTGAGGCGAGGCTCGATAGGCAGCATGCCGGCCTAGCTTTCCATTTTCATCCGACATAAGAAAACTTGGACTTGCTCAGGCCATCACCAACTTGAACCCAGTGCTTAGGCCATAAAAATACTGCGGCGCACAGATTCTTTTACTTAGTTCGACACGCAATCCGAATTCTGCAAATGCCAAGTTCAATTTGTCCGGTTTGTCCATCTCCGAGCGCAAACGGGAAGGTCGGCGTGGGAAACAGGCTCGAGGCCATGTGCTTCGGGTGAAACGGGTGAAACGGTGAAACACATCTCCTTGAAACGGGTGAAACATTTGTCAGGCATGTGCTTTGCACGTCAGTTACCTTTTTCCGAGCCCCCTCTGAGAGCGTTGCCACTTGGCCTTCGCATCCACTCACCGTAGCCTGCGCACGCGTGCTTCCGCGCCTTCATTACCTTAAGTGGCCGACTCATGCGAGCGCCGCTCGTCTGGGTGACGTATGCCCGCTCCTTCGGGCTGTCGCCGGAATTTTTGATTAGTTGGCTCGTCTCCAAATCTCCAAATCTCCAAATCTCCAAATCTCCAAATCCCTCCTCTGGGTGCAGGTTCTTCAAGCGACGGCCCCAGGTGCAACCGCTGCGCGTCGTGGCCTCGCGGCGCATGCGTAACCCCTTCCTTCGTGAAGCTCGCGCCTTCCACCGTGACCTCCTATCAAGGTTATACGAGCCTGAAAAGCCATGCAAAAGCCATGCCGTCCCATGCCGTCCCATGCAGGCATCTGAAACTGCGGCAGCAACTTTTTGCTCAGACTGCCTGAGTCTATTCACGCGCTTTGACATCTCTGACGTCAAAGTACAAACATGAATTGCAAGTCTTGCAGACTGGTGGCCGACAGAAGCTTGGAAAAGCGGCTTGGCAAGCTCTATGCCTACGTTTTTCACAAGCCTCAAAGAAAGCCAAAAAAACCGGGGCATATCTGGGAGTGAAACGCAGCCCGCCAAAGCAATTGGAACGTGCGCGGGGTCTCTGGAGTCTCTGGGCGTGTCAGCCGAAAGCCAATGCCTTTGGCACGGGACACCATGCATGGCACAGCTTCCTACACTCAGGCCGGAAGGTCGGAAACTTTGGAATACCCGCCTTACCAACTATCAAAGCAGTGAAATGCAGACGCCGTGGTCTGCCTAGTAAGATGTTGCGAAATCCTTGTCCCAGCCGTTTCCTGGATCAATATACCTCAGCCAGGATCTGGGCAGAGTGTGTCTGAATTCTGACATCATCAATGCCGAATCCTTCAAAGCGGCTCCAGGTGTCTTGGCGCATCTTCCTTTCTGGCCACAAAGTTCTGCAAGTCTCGCTTGCTCTTCACTGTTGGCTTGTACGGCGCAGTCAAGCCCAAGTTCCTCAGCCAATCGGGTTCGGGGTTTCCGGAGGCCAATTGCGGCCAATGCTCTCCGCCGCTTCCCAGTCAAAGTCCGAGAACCACTTGTGCTGCTTGATGTTTTGCACCTTGGCTGTGTGTGTTGCCACTTCTGCAAACTGAAGTCGCACCCCAGCCTAAACTTGCAGACAAGAGGCCCCACCAGGCTTCATGGGTAGTCTTTCTACCGGATCGTTCTTCAGCAACTGCTCCTTGTCAGGGAAAGGGGACGTCAGCCCACTGGATGTCAATTCATGCGCCACCCTAGTACTGCCAAGGTGCAATGAGGTTCTTGCAATTCCCTTTCATGGCCGGCCTGCAAAGGCTCACTGCAAACACCGGATTGGCTCGCTGGATCTCACAGTCCAAGCGGCGGGAATTGCACTTTGCTAATGCCTTTGGTGACTTTGGCATAGATTTGCCTCGCAAGGCGATGGGAGAAAGACGGCGTGCACCATGGCATCCTTCTCCGACCAATGCCGAGCCACATGGGGTATGCGGATTCGAACGGCGGGCGACCTGACCTTGAGTTGCGGAATTTGCAGAGCGCTTGCTTTGCTGGGACGGTGTGGCGTGGCTAGAACAAGGCTTCAAGGCCAGGGCATAAGCTCGAAAGTCAGAATGCCCAGCGTCCACCAGTCAACCTCTGCGTTGCCGCATAGCCCCAAAAACAAACTCACTGAGCAGGCTGAGGCTCTGGCAGCATTGGTATGGCCAGTGGATGCGATGAGTTCTGGAGCAAAGTAGTCAGGCGTTCCACATGTTGTATACGTCTTTCCAATGACCTAAGGAATCAAGACAATCAAGGGAATCAAGAGGTTTCACAGCGGCCCAGACAAACTTTGCCAAGCCCATGTCCGTGAGCTTGAGATGGCCTTCCTCTGTAAGCAGTAGATTCTCTGGCTTCAAATCCTGAGATGCACGGAGACACTGTTTGAGCAGCCTAAGCAGTGAGGTCGTGCAACCAAGCTGAGCTGCTCTATAGATAATCCGCCGCTGGTGCATGTGCTCGAAGGCAAAAACGACACCAGAAGTGTAAAACCTGTCAAAGCTGCCAAACCTATGCCAACGCACGCGTTTGACTTGGCGAACTCAAGCAAGTACTCTCCATTTTGAGCTGGTCTCGCTCTGCACCCACCATGCAAACGTCTGCAGCGGCCTCATGCAATGGCTCTGTGCTACGCTCTCCTCCTAGCCTTTCCGTCCAGCATTCTGTGAATGTTTATCTCGGCTGTGCTGTGCTGTGTGGCCCTTCCATCTCGGCAGTTCGCTTCCCGAAAGCGTTTCAAGGGCGACGTAGTTGGAGCGGGGGAATGGGGAGCGGAACGGGCGAGATGCGACGAGATGCGACAAGATGCGAAGAGATGCGAAGAGGTGCCAAGAGATGCGAGTGGACACCGGAGAGATGCAAGGTGGACAAAAGCCGAGAGCCCGGGGAGCGCGGGGAGAGCGAGCCGGGGAGCCTTGCGGGCGGCCATCAAGCCTGTGATCCGCAGGAAAAGCTATCTGAACCTACATTTAGTGCAAGAAATCAGTGGGATTCACTGGCCCCATTGCTTTCCAAAGCAAGAGCCCAGCCAAGCTAAGCTAGGCTGTGTGCCAACCCGAATGTCCACGAACAAGCAAGCGAAGGGCAGCGCTGAAATTGTTATCAAATATGGCGTTGGAGCACTCTCCAAGCTTGGCGCACTTGCGTTTGTGCTTAAAAAATGTCAACCTGTCCGGTGCCACTTGCCCAGGCCCTAGGCAGTCTTGTTGCGAGTTTTAGGGATCTCGCTCAAAAGCAACGACAGAATCCGGACCTGCAATGCCTTTCGGAGCCATAGAGGCCCTTCCTCAAAAAACACGATCTGTCTGACGCGTGCACTAGGCCTCTGAGTGCTATGTGACATGCGGCAGCTTGACTGGGCTCTGCACCGGATGTATGTTGCATAGAGCTCGCCTCCGAGACAAGGTTCCAGAAGGAAGTACAACCTGGGACGAGGTGCGACCTTCGGGAAACTCCAGATCAAGCAGTAGTAGCAGTAGCACTTGCCCGGAAGCGTCTGCGTACCATTGAACGTCTCAAAGAGCTTCGTGATGAAATAAGAATTTGTCATGGCCTGAAGTTGCAACACACTTTGCAGACATCCTCGCGGTCAGTCGCAGCTTTTGTTCCAAGCGGCCAGAATATATTTTTCATTCATGATGCCTTGGCGCAGTCAGAGCTCTTGGCATTCGCGCGTGCCTTTGAGCCAGCAACTCTTCTCGCTCTTGCCATGGCGCTCTCCTGCATGCCCGTCTTCACAATGTATCCCTTACTGATCGCCTTGAGTGCGAAGGTTTGGCCTGGCGAGCGGGCTAAACTTTTGACTTGCCCTTTTACCTTGCGTCTTGTCATAGCATTTTTCCGATGCTCACAGTTCCTCTCATCTTTCTTCTCTCTTTCGGTGATCTCCTTCAGAATTCTGTCCATCCGCTTTCCACTTGTTCCACCTTTTCCACGCTCCCTTCATTCTTTCGGGTTTCTCCGGCTCCGCTTTTCAGTCCTTGTTTCTTCGTGTTCTCCCTCTCTTCTTTTCGGGGCGCCCGCTTTCCACTTTTCCTCTTTTCCTCTTTTCCTTTAAATAGCTTTTCGGTCCTTTTCAAAAAAGGTCTTTTCAGTGTTGCTTGGGGTTCTTCCGTTTTCTGTCTTCCGCGGGCTTTGTTGGTTTGTTTGAGCTTTCTTTGCTTTTGCTTTTTTGCTTTGGGTTCTTCTCGCTTCGACTTCGTTTCGTTTCGTTTTTTCAACTCGTCAGTGTTCACTCTCTCTTCTTCTCTTCTTCTCTTCGTGGCTTTTCTTTCCCATTGCTTTTTTTTTTTAAACCGTCTTCTTTTCTGTCCGTCTTTTGTTTTTCCTCGTCTCTTCTCTCCTTTTTTCGCCTGACTTGAGGTGCTCCCAGAGCTCCACGGCGCCGAAGCCGCCGCAGCCCAGCAGCCCCACGCGCTTCAGGTCGCTGCGCTTGATCCGCGGCCGGTCCTTCGCCAAGCCTCGAGCCGAAGCGAGCGCCGGCGAAACTTGAAACTCGTTTGAAACTCGTTGGAAACTTGTTGAAACTCGAAGAAACTTCGAAACTTCGAAACTCACAGCTCATTTCGGCGTTCGAAACTCGGCTTAACTTCGAAACTCTCGGCTTTTCCAACACGTCACTCGGTCGAGTTCGAATCGCATCGCTCGGTCGAGACCCGAGCTTGAGTCACTCGAGTCACTCGCGGTCGGTCCGTCAAATCCGTAAGAGCCCGGAGACTCCCGACCGAAGACCTTTAGGCATGAAACATGGAAAGACATGGAAAGACATGGAAAGACATGGAAAGACATGGAAAGACATGGAAAGGGGAATGGACGAGAGGGATAAGGGAAGCCTGAGAGAGGCTTGAAAGGAAGAGGGAAGACAAGAGACAAGAGACAGCGAAAAGAGAAGGAGAGGTGAACAGAAGTCCCTAGTCAAGCTCAGAACGAGAGATGTTGCATGCCCAAAGAACATGAAATACACACCATGCTGCTCGCGATTTATTGGCTGCCACGGGGCAGCCTGCCGCTGCTCCTGGAACCACGCGCTCGGGGCGCTCGCGGCCCTCTCTGGCAGCCTCTATGATGTCTTTCAAGGGTCCCAGGAGGAGGTTGAAAGACTCGCGGTCCAGCACTAAACACTTCGCATCCACAGACTTCACAATGACCTAAAGATTCGAACAACAGGAAGCAAAGTGCGAGCCATATCGTGAGCCCTTGGCAGTTGCAGTCCGGACATCGTTCTCCAAAAGAGCCTTCTCACCGAAAAAGTGGACAGTGCCTTAGATCTAACCTCTGTGCACGAACAGTGCTTCGGGCTCTCATTGCGCTCATTGGGCTTGGTTGCCGCTCTTGCTGCGGGCATCCAGCGTTGCCACGACTGCGCTG